TCATACAAGACCCCACTACTAAAAATATGATATTTGAGAAAAAGCTCTTACATCAGGTATAAAAATAAATGATGTAAAAAATATTTGTCAAAAGATTTTACATTGGACTTTTATTTTCCCTGATATAAAAAATATCTGATTTAGAGGAAAATATAACAAGGTGGCATTTTTGTAATTAAAATAAAATTTTTTATAAGGGATTTTACATCGGGCCTTTAATATCCACCGATGTAAAAACTCCAATAATAAAATAATACAAACACTGTGGCAATTTTGTAAATAAGGTGCATTTTTGTTATAAAAAAAAGTGGCCCTTACATCGGGCCATAAATTCAACCGATATAAAAGAGCGTTTTTGTTATAAAAAAAATGGCCCTTACATCGGGCCATAACCAAACCGGTGTAAAAGAGTGTTTTTGTAAATAAAAAGTGGCCCTTACATCGGGCCTTAAACCCAACAGATGTAAAAGAGTGGCCCTTACATCGGGCCATAAGTCCAACTGATGTAAAAAACCATCTCAACTTCACAAAACCCTATTGTTACAATTCATATGTTTTATTTCGCAGAAAAGCAGCCGCACTTCATTTTTTCGCTCTGCTACCTCACACCCAAGAACTCTCCATCTTCATCCTTCTCCCTCCGCCCTTCGCCACAGGACGTCCTAAACCGTCCTAAACCCTTCTCCCCACGCCGTCCTAAATGGTTTTTCTTCGTCCTTCGCATCCAGACGCGAACCGATTTCGCACAACTGTTCCTCCGCTTCGTCTGAAAGCAATCGCGCCTCTGCTCCGTCCAAAAGCAGTCGTGCCTCCGCCTCCATCAGAAACAAGCCGCGCCTCCGCCTCCGTCCACACCGTCTGGTTTTGGTCAGCCCCGCCTCCGCCACTGTTATTCCGTGTCTCTTCGTCTCCCTCCGCCTCTGACGTCGTCCATAGAGTGAAGGAATTTCTACGGTTTACTGAAAGCAAGGCTGAAAAAAGTCTTCATGCGCTTTTTTTCTTTCCATGTGTTCGTTGTGCAAATAGAGAACCAAAACTTAGTAAGAAAGAAATCATGGATCATTTAATCTGTGTATGGATCTGTCAATCTTATACACAATGGATATGGCAAGTAGTACAAATTCTAACGTGTCCCAAAGAGATGATGTTAGTGTCGATATGGATGATCGTTTGGAAGACATGATGCGTGATATTGGACAAGATTCATTTAAGAGAACACATACATATGATACTTTATGCAGTGACAGGGATAAATATTTGTACACGGGATGCACAAACTTTACACATTTGTCAGCCGTGTTAAAATTATTTAATCTGAAGGCGAATAACGGATGGACTGACAAAAGTTTTACCGAATTTCTTGAATTATTGACAGAAATGCTTCCAGAAGGTAACATATTGCCAATTTGTTATTACGAGGCGAAGAAAATATTATGTCCGATGTGTTTGGAGTATGAAAATATACATGCATGCCCTAATGACTGCATATTATACTAAAAAGAGTATGTAAACTATAATCATTGTCCGAAGTGCAAGCTGTCACGCTACAAAAAGAAAGATGGTGATTCTAGTGCAGATGAGGTGGTCAAAAAGGGTCCTCCCGCGAAAGTTCTAGGTGTATATATGTTGATAATGTGCTGAAATCTGAAGCAGATTTTAAAAAATACATACTAGATAAGTTACGTGACGAAAACAGTGTGTCACTTACTACCATTAGTTCATAAGTAAGTTTTTTTGAAATTGAGTTTTCTATTTTTTAATTTTGATAACATAGATATTTTATGTGACTGTTGTGTTTCCACACGTATAGATCTCATTGGCAATTAATAGTAATTTGTCCAAGAGACAATATTGTTGTCACCTTTTGTTCGTTTCATTGGGAAATTGATCAAATCACGAAGAAAATTATTACAATGTGAGTTTGTCCTTTGTGACTTTTGTTATAATATATTATATATCATGGATACATAAATTGTTACAAAAGTAATTTACTATTTTATGTGGCTTTATATGGATTTTTTTTCTTCTGAATTAGTGCTTTTGGGGTTCATCAAATGGCAAATGGAAATAGAAAAAATGCTACATGACTTAATCCTAATGTAAGTGTGATGTATATTACAAATATATATATATATATATATATATATATATATATATATATATATATATATATATATATATATATATATATATATATATATATATATATAATTTTATGTCAAGTATTCACTAATTATGCCATTCGTTTGTCTAGACAAGAAGACAACATAACTCTAATGATTATGGATACTATGTGATGAAAAATATGTTGGATATTGTCCATGTCAATATAACTGATTCTTTGATGCATGTAATAAAAAAACTTTACTTTTATAGTTACTTTGCGTTTTGCAACTTAATGTGAATTTTTAAAGAATAAGTCTATATTGTTATTTATACATTGTAGGTATTTGATGATCCAACAGAATTAACACAAGATGATTTGTATGATTTGCGACTCCGTTGGGCAAAATGTTTCTTTGAGTTATATAAAAATGAAGCTTGAACTGGTGAGTTATTTAGAATTGTCTATACATATTTGATTTGAGTTTTTTGATTTTGGTGTTGTCTGCTGATGTTAATTGGTGTTATTATTTATTGTTAGCAGATGTGATTTTAGTGTTGTCTACTGAAGCTACAACTCATCTTCTTGTGGATTGCATATTGGTATTTCTAGTGTGGATATTTTTATATAATTTCATTGGTTTTGTTGTTGTAGTAATCCATATTTTGTAAACTTCCTTATCCTAGATTAGTACTTTTATAACTTAATGGTTCATTTGAAGAATATATATATATATATATATATATATATATATATATATATATATATATATATATATATATATATATATATATATATATATATATATATATATATATATATATATATATATATATATATATATATATATATATATATATATATGCAATCTAGATATTCGGTGCAATAAAAAATATTTCGTGACCTAAATGTGGTTGTAATGTTGGAAAAATATGAAAAATTAGGTACAAATAAATAAATTCCGAGAATGCACCTGATTTAGTTAAATGTGATTGTGATGTTGGAAAAACATGAAAAATTAGATACAAATAAATAAATTCCGAGAATGCACCTGATTTAGTTAAATATGGCATATTAAACAAATATTTTATATCGTGTATATTAAGAAAACCGATGTAAAAAACAATTTATTACATCGGATATATTGAGAAAACCGATATAAAAGCTTGCCTTTATTTATTTTTTTAGTTTTTATTATTTTTTATATCAGTTCTATAAAATAACCGATGTAATAGGTTGATTTTTTTACATCGGGTTGTAGCCCGATGTAAAATGTCTTTGATTTACTACATCGCTTGGATTTACATCGGACCAAGAACCGATGTAAAAAGTACTTTTCTCCCAATGTAAAATGTATTTCCTGCACTAGTGCCCAATCCAACTATGCTGCAAGAGAATACTAGGAGAAGAGAGTCTGCCCTTGACCATGTCGCGCAATGATTTTGTTCCTCTCGTCGACCAGGATATGTCCTCCGGGGACAACCTCCCCACATGGTTGGCGGGAAGGAACGACGACACTCAAGAGGTCCTTGCGAGCATCCTCCTTGTAGGGCAGGAATTCAACGCCTTCGAATATCACAAAGTTCTTTTAACTTCGAAAAGACCGCATGCGCGTCCTCCTGATAATTCAGAATCCACTCAGGTTGGGAATCATGTGCTGCTCTCCACTACACATGTAGGACCTGACAGTCTCCATTTTGGACCTGCTTGGTCAGCCCAACATGAGGACCTTGGTCCACCGCTGGGGGCTATAAATACTCTCTCACTTGAGAGAGTCAGGTATTCATTCATTCATCCATACTTTCACGTTCTACTTACATTTACTCTAAACCTTATTTTGACATCCGAGTGTCTTGCAAGTACCCCTCTCCCACTTCACATTCAACCGCTGCCCGACTTGAAGCTTGTGGGCATTGACGATCTCTTCTGATCAGGTACGATCAATTATGTTAATTTGCTGTGAGATAATAATATAACTGAAACTCAACAGGTACCCAGTTCATCAACATGTAAATTTAAGAGCATTCGATAATAAAGTCTTAATCGCCTTACACATCTTGAATTTCATCTTTCTAATTTTTCGTTTTAGAAATGCTTTTTTAATGGCCTCCCATTTTTATTACTTAATTTTGCACGTAATTATCTTGTTAAATTATAATTCTCATGGAGACAATCTTTTTTATTATTACTTCGACATTATCGGTATAGTTGTTGAGATGTCATTAGTGAGATCAAGAACATAACGACATAAGGAAGTTTGAAAGCACAAATAAAAAAATAGAGATGGAAAGGGGTCTTGATATGAAAGAGATTTTTTGGAATGAGAAAAGTAGACTTAAGTGGGAGACACATGGGGACAGGGTCGCCAAAATAGGAATGCCTGCAGGCCTATTTCAATGCTCAAGAATAAAGACATCTCTCTTACAAACAAATATGATTGATAGTACAACTTATCTGCCTGTTTCGATAGTAATAGATGAGTTCCTTCCCAATGACTGGACCTTCACTCTTGATTGGCATGTTATTTTTCCCGAGGTCTTCCTTAAGCTGGAAATCATCAATCTTCCCTCCGAAAATCTGAAGGATCAAATTGTCTAGAAGCTATTCATTTTTTCGGATTTTTCTACATAAATTTTTCTCAATTTTTTCAATTTTAATTTCAAACCATAATTATTGGAAACTTTCCTGTAGTACATATTTGTGTTTACCACAGTTTTCTTACAACTTCAGATTTAAAAATATAAATCATGATAAATTTATGTATCATAAATATTATTTATTCTAAAACATGAGCATAAAATAAAAACAAATATTACACAACAACATATAATAAAATCTAAACATGCTAAGCACAATAAAAATATCAGATAGATCTTCACACGTGTTGTAGAAATTTTTAATCTTCACACACTATTTTGATGTTTTTGATTTTGACGAGTCCTTTCCCACATTTTGGAACCAATGTAACCACAACATTATCATCTCCTTCAACATCCAAATCTTCCAACAAATCTGTTAATCCAAGTCTTAAACAAGTTTTAATCTTCTTCTTCTTGTGTCCATGTGAGGAATGAGGGACATTCACAAAGCTTCCAGCAAATTCAGTATTCCCTGGCCCAATCACCTTATCATCTTCATCATTAATTAAAACATCAAACTTAATGGCTATATTCTTATCAAACTCAATCCCATCAATCACTAAAACCTCTTCCTCTTCTTCCTTCTCTTTCTTGCTCCTTGATTTCTTTGGCCTCTTCACAATAGCACTCACTTTATTATTTAAAACCAATGGAAACTTAACATATTTTCTTGAACTCTGTTGTCGAACTTGAAAGTTAGTCGATGATTCGCCTAAGTTGTCATCATTAATCTCAACTTCCACCATTCTTTGTACTTTTGTTCTTTGTGGCACAGGTTTAGCTTTTAGGCATGGAATGGGAACATCTTGATAAACATAACCTAGTTTTTTTGAGTCAAGACAATCCTTAACCTTAACCCTAACAAGATTCTTATTTTCATCATAGAAAAGAAACCCTGATTCTAACCAATCTTTGTCATTGAAATCTTTTCTTTTCCCACCAAGTGTTTTCCATATAGACCAAAGCCTATCAACGTTTGAATGGTGACAGAAAAAAATAGGATCTCTTCCAGCTGAATAGAAAGATCCCATGTCTTCAGTGTTAGGTTGAGTATTGTCACCGGTCCAAGTATGAACGGGTCCATGTGGAACATTCTCTATTGATCCAGCTCCCTCGGGTTCTACATCTCCAGCACGATAAGGGTTTCCAAGGAAAAGTTTTGAGGTTTTTCCATTGCAAAAAACTTGTCTATACATTATAGTAAGATTATTGGAGATTAGTTCATTTCCATCAACATCAATATCATTGTCACAGAAGTTTAAGTCTATGAGCGTTGGAGGTTGATGACTTGCATTTCGGAGTTTGTCATAAAGAGGCGATGCACTGTCGGTGTAAATTGAGGGTATTTGCATGCCATCTGGAGCATCATAGTTCCAAAATGGTAAAGCAAAGGTTGGATCATTGATCAAGCTACCTAAGATTCTTTCATAGAAATAAAGATACCATCTGTGAAAAGGAAAAAAGAGCCAAGAGTTATGAACTTGAAGATCAAGGTTAGGGAAACCAACTTGGGAATATGCACCATCACAATAAGCACAATGGATATTTGCTTGTTGTGTGAAGCTACGTGGATCATTGGAAGGTAAAGCTTTCATGAGTTCAACGGCCTTTTTGTATTTCGCTAGATACTCATCATTGACTAAATGTGCTGCCTGTCTTACCCTTAAGGGTTGCTTTGAAGGGATTTTGAAATCTATGATTTTTGTGGACTTTGGTGGACAACAATTAATATTAGGAGGTGTTACATGTGAGGGTAGATCAGGTGGACCACATGTGGATAGGTCTGGTGGAGATATTGGAGAAGCTAGGGCAAAAGGGTTACTGGAAAAAGTACCATAAAGTCCTCCAAGACCAATAAGGACATTTCTCCTATGTCCTACAATGTTTGGTAGTGCTTGTTCTTCTTTAGGGTTCTTTTGGTTACTATTATTACCACTGCATGTGATCAGTTGGCGTTTTGGTTTACCGTGTTTAGAAGATCGGTTGTGTTTCTGTGAAAATGGATACAAGGAGGAATGTGAAATCTTTGAGTTGGAAAAGACATTGATATTGGAAATGAAGGAAAGGGGTGAGAAAGATGTCATGGTCTAGCAAGCTATGTTGTTTTTTGTTATGAATATTTAAGATTTCCCTAGTCATTTTATAGTGAACTCATGAAGATAATTCTTCCACTTTGTACGTGAATTTAGGAGGTGGCCCCTAAAAGAAATTATTAACATGCACAAAACGTTTTGTTTTGTAACAGCTCGGATATGTCTATAAGTTCAATTTTTATATTTTTGAGTATACAGTCTCAAAGTTTAAAGATCCCTTTGTGACAATATTTTTAAATATATAATTATTGTTGAATTATTGATTGGTTTTTGTGTTTGAATAAACTGCAATGGGTTTGATCATTCAATTAAGTTAAATGAGAAGTTTCTGTCCTCAGATGTTTAGTTATTTAAACGTTATTCCATTAAATAATTAACAGACTTTGAAAACCTAAACAGTAATGAAAGTGGTAATTTTCTCGAATATTTTTTTTTGAATAATCAGGTATTAAAAAAAAATTTCGCAAATAACCAGGTTTCTGAGAAAATTACGCAAATAACCATGTTTCAGAAAACTCCCCAAGGGAGGAGCCAACCCAGTTGGCGCATCTACTCCCCATTTTGCCCTAGGCGTCATCCCACTTGGCGCCTCCTCTCTCTCTTTTAACCAAGTGAGATGGCGCATGCACTTTAAAAGTGAGAGGAGGCGCCATCTCACTTGGCTCCTAGGGAAAATGGTATTTTTATAAATAATTCGTCTGTTTCTCCGTCATTCCTCACACTTTCTCGCATTGTTCTCTTATTTTTTACTTTGTTATTTGCGTCATGACATCGCCCATGATTTTTAACAGAGTTGGTTACGTTATTTTTTCCGCCACAAAACCTCCGATGAAAATGAAATTCTGGCACATTCACTCCATGGAGCATCTGAATAGGGAGTTGATGCGATGGCTAGAGGGAGACATCGAGGAGGGGGAACAAATTAGAAGGATCCAGCGAAGACGAACAGCTACCTCACTTGCGACAGGAATACCTAATTTTTGGTTGGAGGAAGTCAAAACAGACAGCGACGTAATGTTGATGATGCATGGGTCAGATGAAATTGTTTTAACGGTTGTAATTTTGTAGACTGTTTATCGTGTTTTATTTCTTGTTCGCGCAATGTTTATTGTAACAAGTACTGTTAACGAAAAACCCTAATGTTTACAACTTAATAAAGGAAAGATTTTTTGTAATACAATTTATATGTGGTTGAGCCAGTAGCCCGATTCGTACAATTTTTGCGATTGTGTCCGACCTGACGACATAAACCACACTTTCTTTCCAGCTTGTCAAGGGAGTCCATTTCGGTTGTGATGCACTTAATTTTGGGACGACCCTTTTTATTCCTTCGCATTTGGTCATTGTGCCATACTATTTCGCCGTCGTATGCAGGCCAATAATCTGGTTTTGCTACCAAAGGGAAGTTGTTGTTGTATACGTTGAGCAAGGTTTCAGATTTGTAAATGGGAGACAAAAGTTGTAGCACGTCTTGATGAGTATAGGCACACGCGGCAATGACATGAGAGCAAGGCATACGAAAGGCTTGAAACTTGCCACAATCGCACCAACGAGAAGGTAGTATAACCCTATACTCTTGTCTTGGCAGGCCCTCGTTATGGTCGATTGTCTCTTTGACAATGAAGTTCTGGCTGTGTCGGTCAAACCGTATAACCAGATGGTGTTGGCTTTGACATTTTCTGCCTTAATGTACTTCATGCAGCTTTCACTCCATAGTTGTCCAGATTGCAACACAGCATTCCACATTTCACCTCTTTTGGCAAACAATGAAGTCATCCTAAAATATGTTGATTTAACCAAAGCAGCGACTGAGAGGTTTCGTATGCCTTTGAATACCCCATTCATTGATTCAATTAGATTTGTTGTTATGTGGCCCCATCTTTGTCCATTGTCGTATGACCTAGTCCATTTTTCTACCGAAATATTATCGATCCACCTACCGGCTTCTGGATTTGACAAACGGATCTCGTTGTGATAATATTTGAACGTAAGTTGTGTCAATGCATATCCCGCATTCATAACCGCTTTCCTAAGAGCTTTGTCTTTGATCTCCCTCGTGAAATTAAGGACGATATGTCTAATGCAATAGACATGCGTAGAAGGAGGGTCATGCCAACCGTTTGCAGGATTGTTGTATGCACTTTCAATGGATGTATGTCTATCAGAGATAAAATAGAGATCTGGTTGAGGAGCCACGTGTGTTCAGAGATTCTTGAGAAAAAAGCTCCAAGCACCACCAGTCTCCCCCTCGACTAGGGCAAAAGCAATTGGGAAAATGTTGTTGTTGCCATCTTGTGCAACTGCCATCAGTAGCGTGCCTTTGTATTTCCCATACAACCAAGTCCCATCAATTTGTATAATTGGTTTGCATTACGCAAACCCTGTGATGCAAGGTTGAAAAGCCCAAAACACTCGACTGAATATTCCATTTCCATTGAGTTGACTACCATCTGGGGCGTATGCTGGCACTGTTTCCAGAATGTAAACTGTACCAGAAGAATAAGTCTGGAGTGCATTTAGGTAGCGAAGAAGTTCTTGGTATGACTCCTCCCAGTTTCCATATACCTTTTCAATCGCCTTGGTCTTTTCTAACCACGCCTTTCGGTAAGACGAAGTATAGTTAAATATCGTAGTGATGTGGGAGATTATGGTTTTCACCTTCAATGATGGATCGTTGCTGACGAGTGGTAGGATTTCTTGACAAATGAGATCATAATTTAGTTTCCGATGATCCTGTGATTGAGTAGAACTGACACACATGTGGGTAGACATAGAACCTATAACTCAACAATCACCTCTTAATCTGTATGATGCAGTGAGCTTGAACATACAATCTGGGTTGACACACTTGATCTTGTATCTTTCTGGATTTACACGGTCCACCTTAAAATCGATCGAGTTGAGCATGTGAAATTTTTTGATGGCTCTGATACATTCTTCTCTGTTACGAAATTTGTCTTTCTCTTTTAAGTTTTCATCCAACTGCATATACGGATTGAAAAATAAATCAGAAGACGGTTCATCTCCGCCCATGTTGAAGTTTGTCATGTGCAGAGGTGGTGTGTAGATCTCGTATGAAGGAATACCAGGTATTCCATCGTCTTCGGAATCATTGTTGACTATGTCATCAAACTCCAACTCATCATCTTCTTATTCTTCATCAACGACATCTACTTCTGCTTATTCGGTCTCCAGAGGATTAACCACTTGTGACAGCTGAGGCTCTCCCAGCATAATGTACAACTTAATAGAGTCGTACCCAGAATACTCATGACTGGAAAACATATTCTGAAGGTCCTTGTCATCTTGAACCTCAACCTTATAAAATATTATTTGGTTGTTACCAAAATAAACCGGATTCTGATAAAATATTTGTGTAACGGGACCTCGTCCAAGTTTGGCCTCCAATCATTTTTTGAAGTACAAGAAATTGGCTTTCCTGTTTAAACAAAATCGGATGTTCTCAGTGTCTCTAAACAAAAACCCAGAGTTGGGACAAATGTATGTCTCACCGTTGAAATGTGAACTGATCACATATTGGGGTGCAGAGGCTATTGTGTATGATTGTTTGATGGTTTGAAGGTTTGAAGTTTATGAGTTAATTGCTGGAATTTTTGAATGTTATAGTGTTTGAGAGATTAAGTGTATGAGTGTTTTGATAAATGTAAGATTAAATAGGTTGTACTGATTTTGAATAAACCAATAGTAAGCACTACCTAGCCTGCACCTACACTGCAACCTCTAAGGCGCCTCCCATCACGTCCAATCGTGTTACATGCATGCAGAGATGCCTTCTCCAAGGCTGTCACCTAGCCTACGTCTACACTGCAACCCATGCCACCTCTTATTCGCCAACAGGGATGGCGACACCTTTCATTTTTGTACTTTTACGCCAAGTCCAATGGCGCCTACCTTCACGTCCAATCGTGTTACATGCATTCAGAGATGCCTTCCCCAAGGTTGTCACCTAGCCTGCACCTACACTATAATCCATGCCAACCTTTAAGGCGCCTCCCATCACGTCCAATCTTGTTACATGCATGCAGAGATGCCTTTTCCAAGGCTGTCACCTAGCCTGCACCTACACTGCAACCCATGCCACCTCTTATTCGCCAACAGGGATGGCGACACCTTTCATTTTTGTAATCTTACGCCAAGTCCAATGGCGCCTACCTTCACGTCTAATCGTGTTACATGCATTCATAGATTCCTTCCCCAAGGCTGTCACCTAGCATGCACTTACACTGCAACCCATGCCAACCTCTAAGGCGCCTCCCATCACGTCCAATCTTGTTACATGCATGCAGAGATTCCTTCCCCAAGGTTATCACCTAGTCTGCGCCTACACTGCAACCCATGCCACCTCTTATTTTCCAATAAGGATGGCGATACCTTTCATTTTTGTACTCTTATGCCAAGTCCAATGACGCCTACCTTCATGTCCAATCGTGTTACATGCATTCAGAGATGCCTTCCCCAAGGCTGTCACCTAGCCTGCACCTACATTGAAACCCATGACAACCTCTAAGGCACCTCCCATCACATCCAATCTTGTTACATGCATGCAAAGATGCCTTCTCCAAGGCTGTCACCTAGACTGTGTCTACACTGCAACCCATGCCACCTCTTATTCGCCAACAGGGATGGCGACACCTTTCATTTTTGTACTCTTACGCCAAGTCTAATGGCACCTCCCTTCACGTTCAATCGTGTTACATTCATGCAGAGATGTCTTCCCCAACGCTGCCACGTAGCCCGCACCTACACTGTAAGAATGACACTCAGCCTACCACCTCACTTACTCTATGATAAAATTTTGCCTATAAATACAGAGCCTCACATACTTCTATCGCATCCACAATCGTCTCACTCTCTGCTACAAACTCTTTCATAATCTCTTACACAAACTCTTTCATAATCTCAGACATTTTCAACAATGGCTCTTCTCACAATGGGCAATTCTCACAGATGCACAAGGGACAACATTGCAG